TTATTTATTACTTTGTTATCGGAATTTATGAAATATAAACTAAAACATATTTCCAAATATAAGGTAGATTTTTTCTAGATTATTTCTTTCAAAATATGGTTTTGAAACATAATTTAGATTAAATCTGATTACTCCTATAATGCATACATAGTCTATTGAAAGAATTTTATATGCTTACAAGATAAATACATAATTTAAGATGCATAGAAATAAATATATTTTTTCATTTTGAGAACACAGTAAATATTTGTCTATGTAATAGACATATCATGTTTGATGATGCAGTATATATATACAATTGTTTAACATACTGTAATTAGTGTGATGTATATATGATACTCTTCAGTATAACATCAAAAGTAGGAACACCATGTATGTATTCATTTCTTTATGAAAACAATAGTATTATGTATGTGGCTTAAGATGCATTTAGCAAAAATTGATTTAAACATCTAAAATACGTTGATATATAACTCAAAATATAACATATTCAATATTAAGTAACTATCAGTAATATAACTATCATATTTTCTTAATATCCAATCCCGATTATTGAGGGTTTTAGTAAAAAAATATTTCTTTGATAATATGATACTTCATAGGATTTTATATTTAACATTGTGTATAAGTGTTGACCAATATTTATTTTCAGCAAATAAAATGATTTTTGGGCAAATCTGCAAATAATTCAAATATTTGTGTTTTATGTTACAGAGATAGAATAAAAACAAAATTGTATTCCTGGATTATTTTTCGAACAAATAGACTAGTGTAATAAAAAATATTTTGAAATTATTTTTTATCAAATTTACTTTTTTAAGTACAAATTAATACTAAATTTCAATTTTAATCTCATTCTAAATTATTATACTTATTAAATTTAATTTCAAAAATTTAAAATATAAAAAATCTGAGTGAGTAGTATACAAAATTGTTAAGATTTGTAAGTAAATTGTTAAGATTGTTTGAGAAAATCGTATTATTTTTAGAAATATATTTGATGATAGATGTTTAATCTTAATTTAAGAAATCATATATTATAAGTTTGTATTCTTTATTATAAAATTAATATTATTTAAGTTCATGTATTTTTATGTCCTAGGGATGAATGATGTATTGTATAGATATGGATGAGGTATATAAAAAAATATAATTCAAATACTGAGTTTGTGATTAACTTATAAGTTTATGAAAATTTAATCAAGGTGTTCAAAGCTCTTTGTCTGTCTGACAAGGTTTCAAAAAATCAAAAAATTAATACATAAAATGTGGGCAAAATTATAATTTGAAACTTGAAAATGATGCACAAATTTATTTATTTATTTATTTATGTACAATGTTACTAATAAACCTTTAACTTTTTCATGGGATAGTTTCTTAAAATTTCAAATTTTTGAACATTATAATTGATGAACTTAATGAAAATGAAAGATTTGTGAACATAATGTGAATGAAATATTTGGATATTCTCTCATTCTATATTATAATATTTTATATTTAAAAGTAGAGCATAACATTTAAGTTGTGAAGATACAAATATATCAATGAGTTGTGAAGATGAAGGTATGAAATGTCAATTTTAGAAATTTAATTGTTGAATATAAGGAACAATGTTAAACTTTTTATTTTGATTTCTTGTTATACATATCAAACAGGTTAAAAAGATTAAGACTATTTTAAGATTCTATTTTGCAAACATCTTACTTATATTTGAGTTCAGAATTGCTATATCATGTCAATTTGAAGTGCGGATACATGACAAGTAAATTAGTTAAAGCATCTTCATTGGACAATATATATAGGAATATGTTTTAACAACCACATTGAGACTAGAGATGAGTCTTGCGATCACATGAACTGTCAACAAAATTTGTTTTTGCACAAGCCCAAGTATCATATGCTAGCGTGTTTTTGGCATCATGCTCCTTCCTGTGCAAAAAAACATCGTCAAAGGTGATGAACGGTGAGGAGACTGGACACAATGCAGGAACATGTGCCTAACGTATTGTTTTCTTGCATGAATCTTTGCAATAGTTGAAGTAAGTAGTTATTAGTCATTGTTCTTGAATTCTGTACATGTTTGATTGTGTTTTCTACATATATGCACCAATATGTAACAAAAACCCGCTAGGAGATGATAATTGAATTGAGTGCGAAAAAATTTGTGTTTTACAGGTGACACATCTATTGTCGTTTTAGCATTAGATGTGATAGTTTTAATATTTCAGTATATATATATATATATATATATATATGCACATTGAATATCAATAATTATATGTTTGAATTTATAGTATGAATGATTAACTTCATATTGTAAATTTGGAAATAAATATGAAAGAATATCAATTGTTATCTAAGTTAAATGGCGTGGTTATTGGAATGAATGACATTCATTTCACTTTACCAAAAAAAATTATCAGATGAAATTTTAATGTGATTGTTAAACTTTACGATTGGTTCAGATATAGTGCAATATACAGGTTAAGTTACTTCGAAGTCGGAAAGCACTGCATTTTTTACCCGAGTTGAGAACTCTTGTGAACTTGAAACTCAAAATCCCAACTTGGGAGATTTAAGAGTAAAGGAAATCGTTTGCAAAAATGTTAAACATTTGTGGAAGAAACTAAACCAGTATACTGTATCCGAATATCCCGAAAATGCTAGAGAGTTATCAATAGGCATAAAGTGTATTCGTACTTACTTCAATGGGACAGTAAATTTGTTTTAACAGCGACAGTGGGGAAACATTTGGGCAGGCAGGTAGTCGGAGAAGATGCCAGGCCGCTCATCCATGAGTCGGGCCATGATCATGAAATGGCATGGCAAATCATGCTGGCCCCCAGAGCCAGCCTCCCTCGCCGGCCCACATCGCACCGCATCACATCACATCCCATGCCATGCCATCGCGGCGCGGATCATCTTTCTCTCGTTCCTTCCTTCTTTCCGAATCTCGCGCGCGGTGGTGGATTCCCGCCCGGCCTGCTGCTGCCGCTGCCGCCGGCCGTCGCTCGCGACTTCTTTGACGACGCGACGGGAAGGGGATAGAAAGAAGACGGATAGAAGGGCGAGCGGCGGCGGCGGCGGACGGGCGGCGTGGCTCCAAATGGGGCTGGCCGGGCGGGGCAATATCGGGCTTTTCGTCTTTCTCGTCTCGTCGTCCGACCACAATCGCGCTTCGCCCTCGTCCTCGTCCTCGTCCTCGATCGGCTCCGAAACGCATTTCATATTCCGACGGATCGACGCCTCTTTCTGCCCGCAGCGGGGCGACTCGTCGCCTGCGCCTAAAATTAGCGGGCCACTGGAGGTGGGCCGCTTCGCGCTTACACCTTTGCCATGCAGCTGGGCCACGTGGTTGCGCGCACCGACTGAAATGGCGGACTGTCTGTCCCGCGAGACCATTGCTCTCGCCAGTGCCCATTATGAGCCCCAGCGGCTTCCCATCGTTGCCCAACAGAGGCTCCCAAATCCTCCGCCTATTAAAAGGACCCCATTCTGATGATGATGGGCTACAAAGCAGCCCTCGGATAAATCTAGCCCCCCCGCCCGCGAGGCCAGCGATATGGCGGAGCTCCGTTCGGCCAGACGTGACATTTTTGTCCCCCCCCTCCCCGCGGGTCAGATCGGGTCAGGCCCCAGGCCCCAGGCCCCCCTCGGGGTCAAGAGTTGGTGATTGCGTGCGCCAGTAGCAATGCGAGCGATCATGGATGGCCACTGCTGCCCGGCTAAAGACAACGACGACGACGACGACGCCCGCCAGAGCCTCCCCCTGCGCCCTTCCCCCTTCCCTCGCAGCCCCAGCCCCAGTCGCCGAAACCGCTGGCGGGCTGCCTGCGGTAATGACGAAACGAGCACTTGTTGAATATGCACGCACAGCCGCGCACCTCCAGGGGGGGCACTGTACTGAGGCTAGGCGAGCGGGTGCTCACCTCCTCCTCCTCACTTGCCGTGCCCATATCGAACTGACTCACCACCTAAAACTACCAGAGAGAGCATATTTTGGGTGGGGGGCTTCGAGTCGCTGTCGCTGTGGCTTTGCGTGGCCACGGAGCGATTCCATAATGCGGCCGACGAGCTCGAGGGTCACTGTCCCGAAGAAAAGCTGGTTCGGGGAAGGGAACGAGGCAGGCCCGCCGGCCCGCTTCGCAACCGATCAGACAGTGACTTCTCAACCGATCGGAACAGAACGGCGGAGGAAGAAATAATAATGGGCGGATGCGAAAATGACATGCCAGAGCGAGGCAAGGCAGGAGGAAGACGTGGAGAAAATGTGGGTTCCGCGAAAGCTCAGCGGGGCAATCCGTCTACTGATGGGGGCGCAGATGGCCGACGATGCGGTTAAATTATAGTGAATGAAATGCGGTGTCATCAATAGAAAAATTAATAACAGTACTGTGGGTGTTGGGCGATGCCTTGTCTGGTTCGTCCGGCCCGCCTCCTCGCGCGGTCCGGGGGGAGGGGGTGGGGGGGTGGGGCTGGGGCTGGAGGAACACAGAGAGGGGGCAGGGGGGCGTCGAGGGGGGGTTTTTAATGCAGCGGCAGCCGTTCCTGGGGCTGAAGTTAACTCTGCCGCTTTGCTTCCCGGCTGCCCACACCTCGCCTCGCCTTTAGCCGCGGGCCTCGTTGACCCACTTTCCGGTCGGTCCCCACCCTTCATCCCTGGGCGGACGGGTGCCGTATCCCGTCACTGGGTACGCCATGGCCCGCCGCCTCGGCTCTGACACCGCGCCGTAAACCGCGGCCACCCGTGATAGGACCAAGTCCTGGGTAGCGAAGAGAAGACGGGAGCACCAAACTTGGCGGGCGCGGCGTTTTCGTCGCTTTCGCACCTTTTTACTATTCACTCGCTCCACATTTACCCACCCGCCCACCCACCCGGCCGTCCGGCCTCTCAGGGCCTAAGGCCCCAGGGCGGGGCCCGCCTCTTGTGCGAGAGCCGGACGCACCCGCCCGCTCTTGCTATATCACCTGGAACGCGCGCATGGATGCTCACCACTTCGCTCTCCTCCATCTCCCTCTCGATCGCCCGTCTCCCCCTCACCCCCACTCCCTCCCTCCTCCTCTCTCACAGCCAGCAGCATCTGCCGCTGCTGCCGCTGCCTGTCCGCCCTGAGAGTCGCAGCCTTCATCCCACTCTCCTCCTCCATTCTGTACATCCCCCACTCTTTTCGTCGTGAATCGCCCTCCATTCACACCTTAGCACCACACTCGCACTCCCACTCACACTTACGTGAATCAGCCAGCTTCTCTCGAGCTCTTTCTCTCTTTCACACCCTAGGCTTTCGGTCACCACACTTGCGTGGCGTGGCGTGGCGTGGCGTTGCTTCCCTGGCCCGGGGCTGGCTATAACACGAGTGAACGAGCGCGCGAGCAGAGCGGAGCAAGCGCAGAGCAATCGAGTTTCGTGTCGAGAGAGCGCCGAGAGGTGTAGAGTCTTGTGTGACGGAGTTTTGATCTGATCTGGCTTCAAAAGAAAACAGAGAGCGAGCGATTTGAGCGAGCGACAGAGCGGATCTTTTAGCGAGGCGATAAGGAAGAAGGAACGGGAGGACGGAGGTCGGGGTGGAGGAAGAAGGGAGCAGAAACGCTGGCGCCCGTCTCACGGGCCTATTGACCGCTTCTTCCACGGTTTTTGCTGTGTACACACGAGAAGAGCGACGCCAGGAGATGTGCGGATCTGAAGGGGGGTGTTTGACGAGACGGTTGGAGTTGTGAGGCGCACTCGGGCGCAGGAGACGGAGATTCAAGAGGATTCAGTCCGTCTTTTTTGACTATTCGGTTGTAGTTGTGTAGTTGCAAGTAGCGTATTCGTGAGTTGATTCGGCCGGACGACACAGTCGTCGTCTGCTTCAACAGCACATGCCAATCGTATCCACGGATCAGGACGTAGAGAAAACGATTTGAAGCTTAGAGGTGTTCGATTTACCGTGTGGCCCCGCTCGAGGAGGTGGTGATTCGTGCCGGGGGAAAGGGAAGAGGAGAAGCTGAAGCCTGGAGCGCGCGCCCGTGCCATTCGTCGCTCATCGCATTCCTCCCTCGCCGCGCAGGATGGCTTTGAGGGACGAAGAGCAGACGAGTAAGGCGCACCAGGCGGAGCAGGGTGCTCACTTCAGGGGCGTCAGGAAGAGGCCATGGGGCAGGTTTGCTGCCGAGATTAGAGATCCGTGGAAGAAGACGCGAGTGTGGCTGGGAACCTTCGACACCGCCGAGGAGGCCGCCCGGGCGTACGACTCGGCCGCGCGGGCCCTGAGAGGCGCCAAGGCCAAGACCAACTTCCCCACGCCCTGCGACGATCAAAGCACCAGCCAAAGCTCGACCGTCGAGTCGTGGAGCAGTCCGAAGAATCTCCAGCGGCCCGGCCCCGCCGATTCATGGCGCAGTCGCCTGGATCTCAACATCTCGGTGAACGAATTCGCGTCCGTGGAGGAGCCGACGACGCGCGGCGCCATGAAGAGTGTCAGCGTGGCGCGATCGAGCCGGAGCCCGGCCGAGGGCATCACCTGCGCCCTGTCCAATAAGCGCCCCGCCGCGACTCTGTTCGAGGAGGTGAATGCGCATTCCGACAAGCGGCAGAAAACTGGCAAGAAATCCAGCGCCGGGGGTGACAGGAGGGACGGCGGAGCGAGGGAGTGGCTGGGCAAGGGCGCCGCGCACCAAGGCATCGAGCCCCGCGCCTGCCACAGCGATTGCGATTCGTCGTCGTCGGTCATCTTGGACACGGAGACGGTGAACGTGCCCGAGGCCAAGCCCGCCCGCTCGGGTCCGCTCTTGGATCTCAACATGCTCCCGCCCCTAGATTCCTCGCCCAACGAGTGCGAGCAACCGTGCGGAGTCTTCAGCAACAAGGAGTTGTCGCTCTGCCAGCAGCAATCTTCCGATAACAACACCGTAGATGTAAAACAGACACCCCTTTTGTTCTGGGGTGCTCCCTGCGGCCCGACCTTGCCATTGTGCAGTCGGGCCTGAAAAAGATGATTGTAGATTAGGCTGATGAAGGGAATCGTGCAGCTCGCAAAGAGATTTACAGAACTAGCCTCAGATCTTTGGCAAATAAGCCTCTTATTTTTTTTCGTGTCTAAGTTTGGTACATTCACCAACAACACTGATTTGTTTATATTAAAACCATGGGCTATCTGTGATTTCTTTGATTTCATCTGGTAATCAAAGCATTCTGGATTTCTCCCGTTCCCTGAAAGCATATTTGGTGTCCACTCGTCGCTCCATCCATTCGTGCATGTTGGCTCTCTCTCTCTCTTTCCATCTTTTTCTCTGCCTCGCTGTTTCTCGTCTGGGCGGGCGATGGGCTTACTAGTCTTATTAGCAGCCGTTGGCGTTCTCGTGAGCGTTTTGGGTATAGGTCGTGAGCGTGGGGGGTTGGGGTTGGGGGTGGGGCTATTTCGTGTGCTTCTCCTCGCTCGCAATGGGCTCCCGTTGAAATGCGCGCGCGTCGACGACATGTCGCCAGACAATTCGCGTTGTGGTGGGAACGAATTACGATGGAACCCCGCTGCTTTCACCGACACCGGACGACCGGTCTGCGGGGGCTCGTGCGCCTTAACCCCGTCGGCGTCGGTTCTATCGGTCTCTCGGTAGCTTCGTGGCCGGTCGGCCGAACTGTGTGCCTCCCTCCGCGCCTCGGGTCAAAATTTCGCGGATCTTGTCGAGAGGGCAGGGGGCGGGCGGGCGCCTTTAGAGAAGGCGACGCAGATTTGACGCACATGGGGCAAAGGGAGGGGCTCGCAGAGGCTCACGGAGAAGTCGGGTGTCGACACTCTGTAGCGCCCGCTGCGGGGCCGCTGCAGAGTCCCTCCCCCCTCCTCCTCAAGCCCCGCCCGCCGCCTGGGGCCTGTTCGGCGATGTCGTGGCAGTCGACGTGAATCTTGGGCCGCCGCGAAAGTGGCTTTGTCCCCTTCGATGGCACCACGGGCTGCCGCGCCCGCGAATTATCATTCCGGTGTCTCATTGGTGCTTCATTGGCGGTAAAAGTGAGGCCCCTCGAGTCAAATGCTATTCTGTGCCACGCTGCAGCAGCAGCCGCAGCAGAAGACCAGATCCCACGCGGGTCTCAATCCCCTCGTCGACTGGCCCGCAACCACCAGTGCCAAGATTAGCCGGCAAGATGCGAGCCGACGTGCAGCATTGACAACGACGATGCAAATAGGCCATTCTAATCACGCTTCTGGTCCCTTCTAGCGCTTAGCGAGAGGCGCTAACATCCATGCATCGCGCGAGCTGTCAATGAGCGTTGCCGATGCAAAAGTTAAAAAGAGCATGCCGAGCCCGAGCCCGAGCCCGAGCAGAGCAGAGCAGAGCAGAGCATTATGTGAAGGAAGGGACTTTGTCTAGTGGCCGGCTGGCTTGTGGCTTGTGGCGTGCTTGACGAGAAGATTACATGTGACCGTCGAAACCATCATGGACGTCTAGGACCTCTTTTTGTAGGGTCGGTCTGAAGAATATGAGTAGATAAGAAAGGAAGGAGGGAAAGCTGAGCGCACACCGTCGCTCCGTAACAGAATCCATGACTTATTCTCCACCTGCGCAACTCACGTCAAAAGCCTCGACGGGCCGATCGATCGATCGATGTCGATGGATTGATTGATTGATGGACTGACCGACCGACCGAGTGTGACTCGAGCCATTGCGTGTAGTCGCCCGGCGGTGAGTCGGCCGCTCTGGCCGTCTGCTTGCCTGTCTGCCTGCCTGCCTGCCTGGTGAGGCCAGAGCATGCCCTCTTCTGTACCGTGGGTCGAAGCCAGTCGTCGGAGATGGGAGTGGGCCGAGTGACGTGCTCCGTGGGGAAGCACACAGTCGACGGAACAGCGAGGTGATGAGGTGATGAGATGAAGTGAGAAGGACACAGGGACGGCGCCGACGGCTCATCCCCGTACACACCATCAACGTCGGCCATTACAGTGCAGTGAGGTCGAGTGAAAGTACCCATTCCCGGCGGAATTGAAAGAACGATGGCGACTGCGACAGGTTCCGATCTTCGTCGACAACTCGACACAGTTTCGAATTAATGCCTCGCACCGATCATGGTTCGGGTCGGTCGAAATGCGTGGGGGGATTCATTCATGACCTTCGCTCGCTCGCTCGCTCGCCCAGAGATTATCTCCACATTACCTCGCGTCCTCGTGTACTCTGGAAAAAGAGCGGAAAAAAATACATTATTTATTAATTCCGGGCACGCGCGTCCGATGATACCAGCCAAACGAAGCCCCGCCCAGCGCCGCGCAGTACTTCGCCGAGGACAGCGAGAGGGACGAAAGTCCATCAAATGATTTTCTCACGAGCGAGTCAGCCTGAGCCCCCCAGCGTGACAGCATGGAACCCAGCATGCCCCCGTCACTCGTCACTCGGCTTCGGCTCGGCCAGCTCAACTAAACTAAACGAAGCTAGCCCCCAGCAGCCCCCAGCAGCCCCCCGAAAGAAAGACAGAGAAAGGGCCTCCCTTCATTTACCCATCATCCACCCCCTCCCTCGCTCCCTATCTACATCCCTATCCATCCCTTCATCCGTCCGTCCATCGCTGCGGATCTGCACTGGTGCGCAGCGGTGGCAGAAGCGCGGTGGTGAATGTGTCGCGGGATGTGAATACTGTAGTCGAAAAGTGAAAAGAAAATGCTCTCTGCGCACGCGCACGCGTCTCGTAAATTCTCCTCATCCCTTGCCTTGAGATCAGAAGAATAAGCCCCTCGCTCCCCCGCCCGCCCGACCGACGGACGGACGGATGGACGGACGCGACGCCCTCCTCCGAGTTACATCCGCCGAGAATATGCCACTTGGATGACGCGTCATTCTTCGCCACCGAGAGAGAAAGAGAGAGAGAGAGAGAGAGAGAATGCTTCACTAATTCGCTCCGAGGGGCTTCTTAATTGGCGGGAAAAGCGGCGGAATCGGGTGTAACCGGCGACGGACGGTGCGCGTGAGAGGGTTCGTCGAGCTTTGAAGTGGGACATACGTTAGACTGCAGAGGGGGCAGGGGGCAGGGGGCCGGGGGTGGCTAAACTAGCCGAGAGGCACGAAAAGCAGCTGGCTGGTGCGCGAGGGCGAGGGCGAGGACGAGATGCAGAGGGAGAGGGAGAGGGAGATGGCGAAGCTGTTGCCTCAACAGTCTTGGCGGTGACATCAGAGCGATGCAATAATTTGCAAACGTGTAGTCTCTCAATGTGTGTCGAGTACACATGTGATCCATCGATACTGCACCTCGGAAAGTTGTTTGTCGCAAGGGGCGCTGTCAGAAATCGTGCTCTGCTGTTGTGTCGTCTGTAGATGTAACCGTGCAAGAAAGGCCGAGTGAGTGGTGGGACTGCTCACCAGCCTCCCCATCAATCATCCTGTCGTCTTTTCTCCTCTCGTCTGCGTCGAAATGTCGTTTTTCCGTGTGCGGTGCAAAATCTGAAGAACATCATTCTCATCAAATGCAAGTCGTGTGTCATAAACGGTCTTCGGATCGGACTCGGACGGGCTCCCTCCATCAGTCAGTCCGTTAGTCAGTCCGGTCCAGTAATCGATCAGTTAATAATTCGTGCATCCTCTTCGTACTCGCATATTTTACTCTTTTCCGTCTGCGCCATGCCTCTTCTCTCCCCGACTCCATGCGCACACGTCGTGCGCAGGAAGTGGGCAAGAAAGTGACTCGAGAGAAATCTCTGATCCCTTCCTCTGCCGCTTCGCCGAAGCGAGATATTTAGTGTTGACTATTGAGAGTTTCCATCATCGGCTTGCAAGGATGATGAGGCAGGCATGAGCGGTGGAATTCCCAACAGGAGTGGTTGCTGCGCCCATGATACGATCCAAGCTTTCCTTCACCGCCGCGAAGAAGGTGTCGTCCCGGCACCTTCCCATCGTCTGCAAAATCACGAGGAAGTGGGTGGTTGCCATCACATAAGCAGGAGGCGGGCCATCAGAACTCGCTCCCCTCCCCCTTGCCGATGCAAGTGGAGATTAGGGCGCGAGGGCCAGACACATGCTGATGGCTGCTTTTGCCGTCTACTTGTCCAGAAGTGAACGACCGACTCCGGTCGACGAGGGACTGGATGGGATTGCATTGCAAGCGACGGCAATACAACGCAATGAATTGATTAGTCAGTTGGTACGTTCTTTGTGTCGCTGTCGGCTGCTGCTTGTGCACCAGAATCCGCTCTCGCTAATTCGCCTGGACAACCAACAAAAGAAAGGAGGAGGCAGGAGATAGGATGCGATGGGATGCGATTGCTATCGTAGCGCTACGTAATGTTGTCACGCCAATTAGCAGCTACTGCTTCTGGCAGCTTCTTCTCCTGCCTGCCAGAAATCAGTTACCAACCGACTTGCATCTGCTAGACTTGACTGGACTGGACTGGCCGGAGCGATCAAAGAAATCAAAGACATGTGTTGTATTTGAGAGAGAGGGATAGAGAGAGAGAGAGACATCCAGTAATGCAGTTGATCATCTTTTCACCCATTTTATCAAACCCAGCACGACATCATCACGCAAATAACAATTCGTTCACTCTTTCGTCCGATTTCGCGCGACAATCCTTAAATCCCTATATCACACGATTGTGCTGCACACGAACGGGTACAAGGACATTACGCCTCAGGACGGCACGGTTGGGGAGACGCGGAAGTTTGTTCCATTGAAAGATCGAGTGAGTGCGAGATGAGCGGAGAATCGCAACATCCTCTACCCTTCTTGACTTGATTGCTGGAGAGAATGCGGGGAGGAAGGGAGAGAGAGAGAGAGAGAGAGAGTTTGTGTGCCCTTTCTTAATTCTTTTATAAAAAAAACGACTGCTCGGCTTCCTCCTCCATTCAATGGCTTGTCATCATGACTGTCAGCTGCCAAATCTTGCGAGATTGTGCGCCACCAACTCTTGTCCTCTGCCCTTTGCCATCCCAAACAAGTCACTCGAGTTATTCTGGTCCTTCTCTTGCCTCTCCCCTTCCTTTCTCTTCCCGTCTGCCAGTTTTACTCTACGCATACGGCTACTACTGCGTCTACCACCTACTCCAGTGCTGCTCATGTATCCATAAAATGCGCCATCTTTCTCTTCCGAAAGTTCCTCCTCCTCCTCCCCTTAATCACAAACCAGTAAATCGTTAGAATAACTGAGACGCAGGCAGGCCATCCATACGCTTTTCAGCACAATGGACACTTCCAAGTCCATCATCAGACCCGACCCGACCCGACCCGTACACTCTTTCATCCATTTGGCCTGCGTCTGCCTCGGCTTGATTTTACTCTCATTGCTCCCTCCAACTAACTGCGAGTACTGCCTACGCCTACTGCTGCACATTCAGTCACAATTTAACGTCGTCCTGCTGTTCTGAAGTTTCTGATTGCCTGCCCGAAGGCTTTTACCATCACTCGAACCAGCGTCCAGAGTCACCAGACAAGCTCCATACACCCACCGACCGGCAGGACACCGGCGACCATGCAGCCACTTCACTTGAGCGATTGAGCACTCAAGAGCTGTCACTGACTGCTCCACATCCAGAAATCTCCCCCTCCATATGTTCCTCCTCCAGGGTTCCACTGGTTTCCGTCCCTTCGCCCTTTCGAGATAGACTTCGATTGGACTCAGACTGTGTTCCCTCCCTTCCTTCCTCCGCTGCCGCACTCAGACGGCGTCTTTTGACTTCATCTTCTTTCAGTCGATGCACCTTTTCCCCTCGTGACGTGACCATGGACGAGCGGCCTTGCACTCCATTACAGCTGTGCGCGAGCAGCAGAAAAGCAGCATTTTGCTGTCACTTCCTTCTTGGAGCCCCAGAACCCTTTCCCCTGCACTCGGTCGATCCCCGACTGATATCCACATCCGTCCGGCTCATTTGTTATAGTCGATCAATTCGATCCGTGGCCGTATCTCCACCCAACTCACCAGTAAGTAAAGTCATATCTGGCTTGACCATGTAATGAATATTGATATTCCTTCCACATCATTCACGGGTACTCGGCCCAAGCTCGTTGTCAAACGGCCGGCGATATATGACGTTGACGATTGATCAAATACAAGACTGAAGATGCTTATTATTTACCATAACAGTAATTTGAAGGCATTTATTTGCATAGGTCATTTTAGAACATACTGGATTAGTCATTAGTTTAACATTCCCAACCCTTCTTAGTTAGTTCATATGAATTGGCTTGATAAAAATAATAAATACGATATTGACACATTTTTGCTGTGTATGTTAGACTTACCATAATTTTAAATATAATATGATTTTTTTATCTACTTTTTTTCCTCTAATTTATTATCAATTGCTCTGTGTTTCACATTAAGTTTTTGAATGATTTGAATATCCTCTAATTAAAATTAAATTTTTTTTTATAAATTATACTCCTTTCTTACAACTTTTTTCAATAAATGTAAATTAATTGAATTTTTAATTTTCATCTATTTTAATGCCACATAATCGCTCATTACACATTAACACATTTACAACTGTGATTAAATGGATAATTGTATGGACATAGGGCAAGAAGTGTGTTTACTGATATGTATCTTCTGTAACAATTTTGCTTTATTCATATTTTTACAGTTTTTTCCAACAGAAGATATCATATTGTATAAAAGTGAGATTATGCAAAATAATAACGTAATCCTCAAATTCTCTTGAAAGAAAAATAAACATGGATCATTTATTAAAATTTAATATTCAATATCATGTTATTTACTATAAACATAAATTTCTTGCTATATTTTTAATTTTATGTTTTATAACTAAAAAAAACCAATCCAAACTTATTCCTTTGCATCACATTTTGATAAATTATCAATCAAAAAAATTAAACTTCAATATTATATATTGAAATATTTTCAAAATTTTTATGAATATATCAACTATCGTTTAGCAAATTCTAAAATGATGGCAATAGAATTTTCAGGCTCAAAGTTAAATTACACAAAGCAAATGTCATGAATTTGTCAAGCAATATTACCTAATGACTTCAAAGACACAAACATAATATATTTTGATACAATTAAAAAAATTTGTGTCATAATGTTACAGTTATATTATGATAAGCTTAAAAATAATTCAAAAGTTTAAATCAAAATTATAATAAAAATTTCCCATCCTATTTTAAAATCAATAAAAAATATGAATATTTTAAAAAAATTTTCATTAAAAATCTCTTTACACAAATTGCGCTTTTTTTAAAAAATTGCATTTTGAAAATTATATACATATGTATCATTTTAAGAATTTTCATTTTATTTTTATTACCAATAATATTTAATAAGAAATATATTCAATATGATTTTTATCTAATAAAGTATTTCAAAAAAATAAAAATAGAAATCATATATATATATATATATATATATATATATTCTTATATCTTATAGAAATTAAGTAAGAACTAAAAAATTCTAACTTAAACTATTTTTTTCTTGAAAAATTGATATGGATAATTTTTTTATTTATAAATTACTTAGTAAGATCGAATAATTTTTATTTTTTTCTTTTTTCATCTTACGTCAATATTTCACAGTAAACTTTAGACTGAGCAAATCAACAACATGATAAACACAGAAGACACACGTATATCATGGTTCACCCTCACAGGCTAGGTACATGGAGGATTACACTCGAGAGAATATATTGCTTGAAATGAAATCCTTCTTACCACCGTTAGGGTATATATATCCAAGGTAGTGAAACACTCTATGCTATAAATAACTACATATGCGGTTAACTTCAATTATCTCCTTAATCGAAGTTAGACTCAACACAATATTCAAAATCATCATGATATAAATTGATTTTTTGAATATATAGATATGTATTTAACATAAATTTCCTATTTTTTCATATTAAAAAGTTAAAATTATCATATTTTCATTAAAAATGCAAACATATAAATGTTAAACATTCTTACATCTTTAAATGCCATAAAATCATGTTTTGATTAATTTTATGCATTAACAAGACAATGATTTCAATACAAAATATGCATCACATTTCAATTTGAAATTTTTTGCATTATACTAAATAATATTTCAGCTTTATAAAATCTAAAAAGTTTTAAATGTATAAGTTTGATATGTTTCATCTGCTTATGCAAATAAACATGCTTTAAAAAATTAATTCTTTTAGGAATACTTATATAATATATTGTCATAATTTCAAATTTTCATACTGCAAATTTCATGTAATTGTCATGTCTAATTTTTTTTTCAACATTAATTTCAATGTCATGATTCAAACGTATGAAAATACATATTATATTAAAACATATAAACAGCTAACACATCAAATAATAAATTGTATAAGTTTGTGAGACATCAACAAACAAATACATTATAATATTTTCACATCAATATATGTTTATCAATCAACCCAAATTTATTTTACGTATAAAAAGATCATTTGAGTTTTGAAAATTCATATTTAATTTTAATATGATTTATTTAAGTACTAATGTATAATAATCACAGAAAATTTGTGTAATTTAATCGTAATTATTCATACATTTAATTTTAATAAAATGAATCACGTATTTTTTGATTCAAATGTAATAGAACTTAAAATTTTTAATTTAAATTCATCATTTGGTTTGTATCATTCAATTCACAAGTTATGTTACATTGTGTCAGAAACATGATAGTATCATTGAAGGTACTACTTTTTCTAACTTAGAGACTGATACACATTTTTTCCAACTTGAAAGACGGTGTCAACCTTTCAACTTAAGAGTTTTTCAATAGCGTACTAGCAATATAAATAAAGAGTGGCGGAACATTATTCTTTATTCTCAATTATCTTTTCATTCAGCATCAATAGTACCTCCAACTTTCTCGCTTTGATTGCTATTTCAATCTCATACAAAGATCGTACTAGCACTCAAAGCGAGTACACAAAAGTTTGACGATAGTCCACAATCAAGATCAATGACGCTTCTAACATCCAGATGAACGACATGACTTCCATGCTACAATAACTACAACTATCAAATGCAAATCTACGAAATGCCATAAAACAATATCAAGTTGCTTGTGCTCCAATCCATGTTTCAGTTTCTGAAGCAATTCAATTCCACGAGCACCAAAATAATCTCGAATAAGTCTGACGGAGATCATACAAAATTTTGAGATTCTTACAATTAGAAAAAACATAAATTGCACTCACTGAATCATTACTCATTGAATAACGATATTTTGAATCTTGTCACTATTAGAAAAAGATTCTTCACTTTTGGCAGATCTTTATTAATTTGTAAAAGAATTTAGCATAGAAAGATTAAGTTCTTATAGCAACAACAAAACTTTAAACATTGCAACAACAATAATGTTCCATTTTAACAGACGTTGCGAAATTTCAATAACTTGCATGTGATATCAATTGAGCTCTCATCATTAAGTTTCGATGATACACTCCGCTACGATATCAAAGTCTTGTTGCTAAGCTTGCCAAAATCAAATACTATGTCAAAAGTCATTATTCAAATAATTGATTGCAATTATAAGCTATTCAAACAACGACAATAGCGACGATTGCATTTTGGATCATATTGAATATATTACACAGCTCCGGTCTACCAAACATCTTCAAACACTTCAATCCTAGAGACCATGTAGATCAACATTTCAAGACTTAGGAAGTCAATTGAAGAAATATTTTTTTTCAGATAGCATTTGTTTTATTTTGGAGTCATAATTTAAACTACTGCACTTTAAAACCTCAAGGATCAAAGACACACAAATTTTGATACATCTAAAGCATTTTTTATTTAAGATATACAAAAATCAAGTCAAAAAATGACAACAATTAGCCATACTAGTACCGTGCGATTCACAAGTGTTGTCATATCATCAAAATCTATCTTATTCTTTTAATATTATTTTTTGTTTAAATATATCATTTAAAATAGATTTTCATCCACATAGCATTAAAGTTAAAGCTTTGTTAGATTTGAGATACTCCATTTGTCTTATTGAAAAAATTCTTGTAAAATGTATTATCTTTCTATACTCATTAAGAATTATCATGTGACAGTTGAATTTATTGACAGTAGATACTTTATTTTAGCAATTGTCAATCACAACCTTAGACATTATTCTAGTAGTACATTCAATTTTTTCATCTTAGTTATCTCTTCATGAGAGATGATTAACGTGAATATAGATTAAAAAAACAAAAGCTAACATATCAAACCATAGTTTTTAATATTTTTTCTAAACATACTAGAAATATTTTAAATCCATGTTCTTATCATTCCAAATTATTTGAGGTCAAATTTTGTTGATGGTCGATGACCCAACCTTAAGAAGGTATGGTAAGAATGAAAATATGTGTGCAATTTATCTAACATTGATATGTCAATCTATTCACAAATCATTCAAGTAGCAAGAAGAATATGATTAGTATCAAGACTTGTTTGAAAAAAAAATGCCGATATATTTTCTCAGCTTTTTTTTTCAACATCAATGATCAATGCTGATACATTTTTTCAACATTGACCTTATGATTGTGACATTGAACTACAAAAAAAATTGCAATTTTTTTTTATTCAATCTACAGCTTTTCCCAAAATGAACTTGCCACATTGCAAGATAACCTTGATGAAAATCTTGCAAAGAACTATAGCTGACATTCCAAGTTATTTATTACAGCTCCTACCCTATCTTTTAAGAAGAAAAACAATTTCTTTCAAATGTGCATGGACTATTGTGAATTACAGATTCACAATCAAAAATTGATATCCATAAGTATTATTTAAAAAATTCTTGATCAATTTCATTAGACAAAGATTCACATCAAGATTAATCTTTGTAGAACGTACAATCTAGTATGGAATGAAAGATGATGTTCAAACTAAGTATCAATGCTTTGAATATAGTGTCATCTTTCAACATTTGATGAACATATTCCAATAGTTTCTAGATAATTTTTTGAATGTTATTTTGACAACATATTGTTTTTCTTCAAGAATGAAAAAGAACACATCAACCATGTCCGACTAATATTGGAGAAGTTGCGCAATGCTAGATTATACAACAAGTTGAAGAAGTGTGTTCATCTACCAACCCCAAAGCAATTTTTTGGTCTACATTTTTTTTGTAAAGTATATAACCATGGATATAGAAAAGATTCAACCAATTGTAAGAAATCAGCTACCTTTTGAGACGTACAATGCTTTCTTGTTTTTGTAGATTTTTATCAAATTTTCATCCAAAACTATTTTGACGTTGTTACTCCATTGCTTCAATTGACCTCAAAGACAAGATCAAGTGAAATGCGGCAACAAATCAAGCATTTGAAACTCTAAAGAAAGTGTTTATTTTGATGCATCTTGACTTCCAGAAGCCGTTCTTCCTAGAAATGGATGCTTTTGAGTTTGTACTTTAAATGGTCTTTCACAACATGACAAAGATGTATGACTTCATCTTGTCACGTTTCATTCACAAAAACTTTTTACTGCTACTAAGATCAATTATGAGATCCATGGTAAGGAGCTCTTTGTCATTATCGATTCTTTTCAAGAGTGGCGTAATTTTCTTTTAGAAATTTAACATTCGATCACGATCTACATCAATGACAAGAACCTTGAGTTCTTGATGTATGCCAAGATATTAAATTTACAAAAAACTTGTTGGATTGTTTTTCTTTCACGCTTTAACTTTGTCATTACATAACATGCCGATTCTAAGCAAATTCGAATCTACCAACATTGCATTTGGCCTGAACCTAGTTTTTACACGATTGTAATTATCTATAGTTAGTTAGAATTAAAGTAGAGATTAATCAAGATGAAGTTATGGTTAACTTATATTGCAATATTTATAGTTGTCACGTCAGCAATCCGTATGTTTGTTAGTATTATCCATCATCGACGGAATTTTAAACATATGTACACATATCATGAACTTCTGACAACAACATATCATTGTGATACGCAATTCACGTCCAAGTATTGACAGTACTTATTCAAAATCTTACAAATGAAGATGAATCTATCATAGGCACATCATCCTTATACGGATGGACAAATCAAACGAATGAATCAAATGTTGAAGCAATATTTAAGTTGCTTCATCAATTGTCATCAAAACAATTGGATGAATCTATTTCCATTTGCAACGTTTGTCAAGACGGTAGCTGATCTCGTAGAAATCAACAAGTCCAAGCAGTTCTTGTAAGCAACTCGTTTTGTTGGGCGTGGTAAACGATGCAACCCATGATGCAAAGGATGTTTGTGACATTTCAAAACTCGGCGTTTGCAATGATTTCCTGGTTGCTTCATACGCTAGAGTTGCTTGTGCAATTTTGATCGAGCACATTTCGCAAGCTCTGAGCAGTAAATGGGCATTTTTTGTGGCTTTTGATGCTTCCACCGACCTGCAGCATACTTTTTGGGTCGATGTTCGCGTTTGATATTATCAAAGCTTTGGTCTGGAGAATCTTCACTCGGTCACTCCCCCATTTGCTGGCCGACATACTGGCTTAGCGACTTTCGAGATGTTTGAAAAGCTGTTTGATGCCATCTGTCCTCTTTGGAAGAACAAGTTGATTGGTTGCTCGACGGAGGGTGCTACCAACATGACCGGACGTCTTTCCGGAGTTGTCACTCGGATTCAAAATGTTGTGAAGCCTAACTTTATCCGAGTTTGGTGTTTTGTGCATCAGATTGATATCGTTATGCAGAAAGTGTACAAGAATGTAGGGTGCGATTTCCACAAGACACTAACTTCCATTATATCGTTCTTGCGGCAGCAGAAGAACTTGGTTGAGCAAATGCAGACCATCTGTCTGAATCTATCTGCAACTCAATGGGGTTCAATGTCACGAGTCGCTCGATTTCTGGTTGAAAAACGAGCGGAAATTGCAACATACTTTGCTGAAATCGACTCGCCCGACCGTTGGGACCAACTTCCAACTCCGGCTTTCTGGATCTTGATTTCGATTGTTAGCGAGATTTCGAGCCTTGTCAGTGAATGTGTCGAAGGCTTGCAAGGCCGCCAGGTCACCTTGCAGCAGCAAGCGGCGGCTGTTCAATCATCGCTGAATTCTTTACAACGTTTTGCTTTCGTCGAAGTGATTCCGGATGACACCATGCCTCCTGCTCATGATGTCGTCGTTATGGGGCAGAGACAGGTGAGCCATGCAGACCTAACTGGATTCATTCAAGATCAAGGCATCTTTGCCTGTCAGATTTTTGCTGAGTTACAGCTAGAAGAATGCACCAAAGTTTTGCAGGCTGTTGGAGAAATCCTGATGTCAATCGTCAACGGACTAAGTTCTGTGGAAGCTTTACGGGACGAAGTGAACAATGCCAGTACCGATGGCATTCCTCCTTGTTTACCCCACGAGCTGCTTGCCTTGAAGACACGTGACATCGTTCAGTTAGTGAAATACCATGATCGACTGTCGACCTCTTGGTCTCAAAGCTCCATTGACTTGATTGTGGATCAGCACAAAAAACTTTTGAATGCTGTTAACAAATAGCCAAGACTTCAAACTGTTTTCAGCCGTAACAAACCGATTTCAATGATGCTTGGAAAACCGTAGCCATTAAGGACCGATTTCCTGAGTTGATGGAGTTCTGTGGGGGGTTAATAACTCCGTTTACTAATACTGCTACTGTGGAAAGCAATTTCTCCATTTTAAAATGGGAAAAATACATTCATCAATTCAATCTGAGACCTTTTTCTCTTGAAAGTATATTACATTGCCGCCAGTATAACCAACAATGATGTCTTACCAAATCCAATAAAATTCCGTATATTCCATATTTTATTCTTGCCGCGCTCCGTATTTTAAAGAAAAACGGAACATACGGAATGTTCCATACTCATAAGAACTTAACTCTGGACACTTGTTTAACATATCTTACTAAAAACTTGAGATATATTAGTTTTGAACTTCAAAGAACGATCAGTACGGAATGTTCCATACTCATAAGAACTTAACTCTGGACACTTGTTTAACATATCTTACTAAAAACTTGAGATATATTAGTTTTGAACTTCAAAGAACGATCAGTACGCTTGACTAGTTACATTGTACAGTATTATTTTATTGTTTCATTCAAAATTTGTCGCATGTACTCAGATTCAATTTCTTTTCCTACATAAGTATGAGATATGATTTATTTTGAAATCAATTCATTTTATCATTAAACATTTTAGATTGTCTCTTAGAGTTATACATTACCATCAACATGTATTCTAAAATCCAAATTTTCTTCATATTTGATAATCTACTAGAGTTTCTCAACATTACTCTCCAAACACAAATTCTATTCTATGAATCTCATCATGCAATTTCGTCTAAATTTCATCCACTTGAATTAAAAAAAAATATTCGAGTTACTCAATCTCCATCTTCTTTTTTCTATTTATTATAATAGTGTAATCGTACCTTTTATGTTAAAAATTGATTAAATGATTTCTAATAATTTAAGAAAAAAAGGGATATCAAAAGCTATCTAAAATTCTATTGTGATCTATTAAATTATTTAATTATTTTGATTGATACATAACCACAAACTGCGCGCTGCAATATATGACACAGAAAATCGCAAACTGCGATCAAACAGATTTTTAGAATATGACAAGAAATGCCCACGACCTTTATTCAAAGAGATACGTGATAGTTATTGGAGCTACAAACTGCAGCAATTGAAATACTCACCGACGTTTATTTCAAATTTAAGCCGCCAACCAACATGATCATATAACCACCTCCCATCTAGCTCCAAAATGTTTCCTTACACTTCGGATTACGGAAACAAACCAAAACATGGAGAACTTCTTAACGGAAAGTAAAATAAAAGTACGCATGTGGAGCACAGAAATGTACATCACATGATAGACAAGTATGAAGCTACAGAGGGTCACAGAAAATCAGAAATCATGAAGTAGATTTCTTCTGTGACAGAAACTTCATATGTTCCGTAGCAGCCACCAGCTCGGCAGATATTCCTTTCTCATTAGCCGAGTGTCCAGCGGTCTTGACAACCTACAAGGCAAACGGAAGAACAACTCTCAAGCTATGGACAATTCTCTGTAGCTACAAGCAAATGAATGCTGACAATCACTGTACGGTGTACATGGACAGCAGGTGCCAGAGAAGCTTTGCAATTCCAATCGTTCCAATGTATAACCATTGCAAAATAGACCTCAACATCCTCCATACCCAATTCTTTAGGAGAATTTAGTCAGAGAAGTTCTGATTCATACTTCTGATAACTTAGCCTCATTCTTAAGTTAAAATGATCCAATCCGCTCCAGTCTGGTAGTTTCTCCAAGTTGCATTGTCGTCTTTGTATCACCGATTTAAACTCGAAAATGTCGCTGGGTCTACTTTCTTAAAAACTGTTCATTTTGTCATACCTTTTCCTCATTGATCTTTTCATAAGATTTCTGAAACGTGCCTCTTTCCTCCAACAACTTCAGAGGTCTGGCAGTATGACACACCAGACTTCCTTTGCAGGGACGTAGACTTCAATTTGTAATCTCAGTCATTTGCAAATAGCTTTAACGGCAGGAACATGAATGAAGGGAGAGAGAGACGGCTGTGAAGTAATTTCTTTAAGAAGATCAAAGAATCTAGGGCAGCTCGCTCTCCAGGCATAAAATACAAGCTCCCACATAGTACCTGTACGGAATCAATCACTATAATGTTTACATTATTCCCGGACCAGATCATAGTTGCCACTAGATTTACAAATAAAATTATCTACCCCCACATACAATCACTCAATCTCTTTGTCAGCCGCCGATACCGTAACAAGAATATGCAGTGCAAAACCGTGATGATGCTCTAATGACGTGCTATCGTATCTTTTCTGATGATACAGTCGCTTCCAGGAAAGCGCTGCTTCTCGATAACTTCCGACATTATAGTAACTGATTTTTCCTCTAAGACCGGGAAAATGGCTGTGGATTAACTGCAAAACTATATTAATATGTTCAATTTATGACAGTGTACGATCACGTCTTGATTAATTTCATCCGGACTTACAAAAGGACGGAGAATGGTTAAAGGATATATATATATATATATATATATATATATATATATATATAGTTATTTTTATTTTTATTTTTCTTTTTATTTTCTCGCGATACCATGAGCCACGTTGCCTATCATTGTTACACCCGAATATAAATGGCGGCACTTATAAGGCTTCACAATTTGATCGCTTTACTAAAGGACGTGCCGGCATAGTTTCAGGTCTTATCGTTATTCTGGAAGAGAAAAGTAACACTGTTCTTGCTGCTGTTAGGAATAAGGTTAAGGTCAATCTTCCCCAATTTTCGAGATTTCCTCATATAAATAGCAGTCAAAAGAATTCGTATTAGACCTGATATTATACGGTTAGGTCTCTAAGACGTAATAGAGTTGATGTAATTGCTAAAACTTTGTGACTGTTTACGACCTTGTTCGCGTCAGACAATTGTTGAGGTGTCAGTTTTAAAAAAAGGAAAAAATGAGGGGGAAATATCTTCTCAGCTGTTGTTGCTTCCGTCATTAATACGATGAGCAATATTTATCTTGCCAACAAACTCTATCTTCGAATTGACCTACAGACTTCCTCATTCCTGCATTTAGTCCTGTAGTTACTTCCAGCACGACAGCAATGGCATCGACTGGGTGAAGATTCGGAATGATCAGAGTTGGTGAAACATGCTGTGCTGCTTACAGAGCTTGTATGACAGCATTATGTTGAACTTTTTAGTCCCCATAATTATAATTAAGTTTCGGAACACGAGGATAATGTGAAGCATCTGAAATAAGTATAACAAAACACTCCAGAATCACATCAATTTACCATTGCCACATCTTCAACTTCTCAAGGACCAAGTTTTTGTCTTACCTTGAATAATGCCTCTGGCCAGGCCTTGTGAAGATCCCATGCCGACATCATCGGACACACAACATCATACCGTCCCTGAGTCCAACGCATTGTAAATAAGAGTCACGAAGTAGATTTACGAGGAAAAAGTTCAAACCAAAATCAGCAAGTTGTGACCAAACGAAATTTCTGATGCCTTCTAGAGCGTAAGCATCTCTGATCACTAAGACCGCAAGAAACTGTTCTTAAAATCTTTGGCTAAGAGAAGAAAGTCAAAAGCCAACCTGAACGATAACACCAGGGATATGCTTGATTTTACTCATATTGTTCAAAATGAACGAGTCCTCTGGAAAGAAACCTTTATTTGAGAAGTAATGGTTCTCCACCCGAGCAAATGCCTGAATGTACGCACAATTCATTACGATAGGACGCATGGCTTGAACGACTTGCAGATCCATTTGTTTGAAGTCCATAGACCAAAGACGAACATCAGTCTGGAAGGTTATACAAAAACATTTGTGGTCATGGATGTATAGGCATAGTATCGCCCGTTCCCGACTTTATACAAGGATGAACAGACCATTACCAAAGCGAATTTCTCATTTTCACCCCGCTTCAAGGAATCTTCGTTGGGGACAAGGTATGAGGTCGCCATCTCCCAATTTGTCCAAGCCTTTGCAGCTGCTAACTGAGAAACTCTAAGAATATAAACACAAAAGCGATAAAGTTATAATCCTCTCCACACGAGTAAACGGGTATATAGCCTGGAATGCTGGATATTCGATAAAAGATTCCAAATAGAGCAGCATGAAAGGAAATTATACTGACTCGATGGACAGCTGAACAATTCCCACATCATAAATAGGTGTACACAACTGACTAACCTGGACTTCCACATCACTACTGAATAATCGTTTGTTGTAAGCAGTCAAAAAGTCATCGCGCTCGTCTTCAGAGATGTGGTCTCGATAGGATTCCCAAGCTGTAAACCCCTTACCCGAACAAGATGCATCTTGTATCAAAACCCGAAACTCTTGCAACATATGGTTAAGACACAGTAACTGATGAGCAAGTTCTGGACACCCAGTCTCGAAACTGCCTTCACCGGAATACAGACAAATGCAAGAGGATCGATACTGAAAAAGAATGTGAACCGGATATTCTTTCGGTGAGCATATGAACTGATACAATCACCAATCACCAAAAAAATAATACAATAAAAAAATAAAAATAGTTTACAATAAAAAAATTGTAACTATGGGGAACAAAAACAGTTTTCTCTTCGTACGATCTCTGCAGCAAAGTCATCTCCCATAGTCTGAGCAAATTTAACTGCTTATCATAGGCTAAGACCATAAACCCCATGCCATAAATGGCTGGTGCTAGTAATTGTAAAAGACTAACAAGACGAGAAAGAAGAATGAGGGCGAAAACAGGACGAGATAATTTGAGAGGGAACAGTAACCTTCACTAGATGGTACATGTCAGCCTACAGCATGCGTTAGAACGCCTAAAACTTCTAGTGGAATCCAGACATTAGTGGACAATATGGACATATAGATCGTCGTGGTTATATCCCTGAAGAAAAAGATGACAAAGAGAAACTGGGGAAGTAGGTGAAGACACGTTAAGGGGACGCAATGACATATATTGTGAGCGTTCTGTAGAATACTGTAATTTTAGAATACAGATTTTGTGGCCATACTGTTGGTTTATTGAGTCCATTCAGGACGACACTGAACAGGAGTTCATTCTACACTCCAAAGACTTTCCAATAACATCACATGGCACGATGCCTGGCGACCGCAACTCAGAATTGAAGTGGAAAGAGCAAAAAGAGGTAAAGGAAAGGGCCACTATTGATCATTCTCGCCCGCCTCCTCCGCAAGGACTTCACTAGCCGGCTCTGGAGCGAGTGCAGAATTATGTCCGCGTTGTCCACGTACATGACCGAGAATATGTACTAGTTCTCGCTTGAAAATCTTAAGGTGATTATTGATTACTCACCATCTGGAAAAATTGCTGAGCAACCAGACTGGTAAAACCAATCGATTTCTTTCTTCCTTAATAGGAATATGCCACGCAATACAATCCCAGTTACCTGTGCAAGAAACACCCACTTTGAACCTGAGATATTTCCATCCATGTTGACTACATAACTGATCTAGAACTATCAGCAACTGGAAACTGCTTCAAGCAAAGAACTCGATGAGTCGATGACATACACGTATTACATTAAATGATCAGGATATGCACTTCCAAGTATCAGAAAATACTGGCGGAAGCTAGTATCTTCTTCCAAAAATGGGAACGCGAAATATAAAACCAGTGAACAAAGTCAATGAGCCTATATATCCTGATTAGTGAACAGAAACAAACATGAGCAATTTTTCGTTGTGATGTTCTTACTTTATCTGGATGTGTCTGAGCATACGTCAGTGCCAATGTACTTCCCCATGAACCCCCGAACACCTGCCAAAACATCATTTGATAAGTGAAGAATTCCTCGGCTCTGTTCCGGCCATTAAAAAACAACCTCAGACTACTACCGCCGAGTGCTTCAACTTCAAGGACCTGAGTGTAGATAGAGAAGCCTCAAGGATGGGTGGATACACGTCATAAGCAGCTTATGCCTCTTGAGGCTTCTCTATCTACACTCAGGTCCTTGAATAAGCTGCTTATGACGTGTATCCACCCTACTTTACAAGCATACAGAAGACTCGCTCTCCCTAAGGTAGGGTCTTAAACCTTCCACTTCTCAACGCCAAGATGCTCTCGAATCTTTTCAATGTCGTTCACGAGGTCCCAAGTGGTGTTCTCTTCAACACATGCATGGGGGGTACTCTTTCCTGCACCCCTCTGAGTTCACCTCATGACGCGTCAGAGATTCGAAATGCAAAGATTGCAAACAGCCTGACTGTGCAGCATATCTCATACATGATTCTGGTATTCGCAGGCTTATATGCATCTTCTACAAAGAAAAACTTAACCAATAAAGACTACTCTGTTCAGATCACCCATAACTCGCCCTTTCTCGATAATGCTAAACATATTTATGCGATCCGATTGATTATCTGATATAAATAACAGAATAAGTTAGAACTGAAATACTTTCCAGCTTCACTAATAAGGGGTAAATCGTCGAGAAGCCGAGTGTCAAAGTATTCTATTACGTAATATTCATGACAACCTCGTAAAGTGTGAGAAGATATATGATAATTCTTGATGATATGGATGGACAGGCTCAAAAAGAAAGACCTCTGATCACGTCCTCCGAAACCGTGAAAACCTACTCTTGAGAGAATTCTGGATGAATTGGTCGCTTGAAAGAAAGGCAAATCAGAAGTGGCAGCTTCGACCTCTTGCATCCATTAACGGGATAATACAACAAAAAGTCTCTTCAATATATGACTTAAACCTCGCACCTGGTCAAAGAGAATGATACGATACCACTCAGGATCGAAAAATCTTCGATTGCTACCACTTGTTCCAGCACCAGGTCCACCATGCAGAAACACCACGGGCTGCAATGCCACAATGGCAAGAAAGTAAGCTAGAGACTCATTTTTCCTTCATTTGTGATACAGAGATTCACAATCCTGAGGTTACGCTCAAAGTTCCACCATTCGTGAGCAGGAATAGGCCTTGCCTCTCCATCAGCATTGCCACTTTCCTCCCAGTACAAAGAATGAAGATCTGACACTTTCAAATGTCCAGATCGATGAGGTTCAATCACGGGGTAGAGTTCCGTTCGGGGCAAAACACCACTGGATGCAATATTTAGTTTTGAAAGCATTTCAGCTGGTTCTCGTCCCGCCTCCTGTCCACCTTCATTCAAGCTTGCCGATGCCATTTCCATCTTGCGCAAATCTGATCCATTCAACATCCTGAAATTAGATCCAGCAGGCCGACAACAAGCATTGACTATGGCGTCCAACGCGGAACTCGAAACTACATTTAAAGCTGAAATTACCTTAAGTTTCAATACTCGTATTATCACAACAATTCTTTCTAGATAATATTCTATCTCTTGCGGTACGCGGAACCAACGTCTCCTACAATGGAGAAATACATTCGTGGGAGAAGCGCCAGATAAGGTTAGCGATACTAATTAGTGAAAAATGCGACAATTGAGTTGTAAAAATGGTTGAAACTATGTACAAATTCGAATGATGTTTGAGTATTCATCAAATGCTCATCTCATACTACGAGCAGCTGTAACCGGTTCCAGAAACTGTACAGGAGCTAGTAACTGACATTCGCAAATTACTACGACGTTATTCGGCAAATGTTGTTTGGCAACTTAAGAGTAGGAAATCTAATCGACATAGGTGAAGCTGATCAAATAACGGTGAGATTTTGAGTCGTTTTTCTGTAAGATAACAGATTTCCTTTGCTCTACGACGTAGTTTGTTCCTACCGGTCTCGGAAGTACGAAAGGTTCTCAATCCATAATCGATTTGAGAAAGGGAAGGTGATAAAAGGAGACGATGCAGCGAGCTTAGGCAAAAAAGAAAGTTCTTCACGTACAAACTTTCAGAAACTCGAACTGAAAATGTCGAAAAAACAGACTCACCCATCATCTCCTTGAACCCACACCACCAATTCGCACAAAAAAACCACATCTCATAACAGTTTACATTTTGCGGAGCAATTCAAACAGGTGTCAACATTCATGAGACCAAAGTAGACTAAACGAGACTATACGGCGCCAAAAGCGAGGAACCAATTATGAGAAAGAAGGAAAAAGACGACCTGCAAATTACTTCGACGAGGGGAAGGCAGGATGGTAACTCGACTTTACTTGAGTCAGCGAGCAGCAAAACAGAACGCGAGCCAAGGAAACGTGGCAATTGAGTACTGACAGAACCTTTAACAAACCAACAACATCAACAGATATTGAACTTTAGGCCAGATTGTGATGACAAGGGTGAAGCTTTACTTGGGCGGAGTGTAGGAGAAACTGCACCACCCTGTCGTTGGCTCCAAAGCAGAGGTCGGGTTCTTGGAATTCCGCACGACAAGAACCCTCTTCCCGTGCAGAGTGCCATGAATACAAGTTCTTCTATCACCCTCTGGCTTCATTCATTCTCTCGCTCTCTCGTCGCTGTTCCACATCGCTTTCTTTCCACTTCCTAAAGGTACAGCGCTCGGCCGCCACTAGGGACAAGAGCTTCTTGAGCGTCGGCTCTGGCGCGCTTGAGCGTGTGCACTCGCCTCTCGGCCACGCGGCTTCTTTCACTCACGAGCCCACCCAGATTCCTCTATGCCTGCTATGCTGCCCAGTAAATTGTACCTTTGCTGAGGTACATGACTTTACTTCTCGTCATAGAAAGTCATGCATATTTTGTCCCGGATCAGACGTTGGGACGGGAGAATGCTGCAAGGTCCATCAACAACTAGAACATGAGTTTTGTTCAAGCCGCATGATGCAATGTTGACTTGCACCTCTTCAGAATGTCTGTAATGGGGATTCAACATTATTCGAATAAAATTATCGTAGAAACGAGATTTTTCACACTCTATTGCCTTCAAAGTGATTAGAGATGTTTCTGAGTATCCATTACATGAATTCTTGCTGTGAAATGCTTTCGGGTGAATCGATAATGTCTTAGTCTGTAGCCGGATAACTTTCAATGAGCAGTTGATGTCATGCATTGTTTTTTCTTCACGTATATAGACATAGTATAGACAGCGATGAACATTATCGTTCCTAAATCTTCATATTAGTACTTCGCCACCAAATATAAATTAACCACTCTTAACCACACTAATATATCACAAGTAATATTTTGATATATACGTTGTGGAATAGGATTGTTGAAAAAATTCGCATGATCTTTGCACTATTCCTCTAATTATCACGACATGGCTTAGAACTGAACCACTACAAGATCGATTTACAAGATGTTTCACATTTCTTATTGTAACAAATGTTTGATATTAAGAAATCCATGAACTTCAGATTGGGAACGTGATTAGATTATGATTTTTTATAAGGTAATTACTCAAGATAATAATGATAAATATTTCATCTATATAATTAAAAAAAATTTCGAATGTCAAAGAATTAGAAGATGTTAAAAAATAGATTATTATATTCAAGTTTATAAGACTAAAAATAATAATTGAAATAAATAAAAGCAAATTTCAGTGTCTGATAAGTTGAAATAGAACGTGTATTCTTAAAAGCACCTGAAAAACACATTTCACGTGCTTTTCTCTCTGTTTCGTATGAAAAGAAACAGAGAGATATATAAATTAACAATGAAATTATGAAATTATCATCTAAGAATTATAAAATTTAGTATCACAATTTTAACATTCTCTTTCTTTGGGAATCATTCTGAAACTGATAGATTTGATGATTAAATGTAGAGAACTAACTAGTACGAGTTTTTATGTATATATTTGCATGGCTTATTTAAAATAATATTTTTTCTAGATTTTGTGATTGTCACATTCAAACGAAAAAAAATCGTTTCGAGGAGTTGCACAATGACCTCTATAATTAATACTCCATGATGTTGAAATTTATAGTATTTTTTGTAATAATTATTTTGAAATATGGGGTAATAGCCAATGTCTGGTCAGGAACTTCTTGGTATAGCTACCGTCCTCACCTTTGAAGTGTGATATTTTCCTTCCGGTTAGGGAGAGATGACATTGGGTGTATTCCCGGGAGTGGTTTTCGTAGGTCGATTGCTCGCTTAAATAGAGGACTGAAATTTTGATTAGTCTGAAAAATATTTTATTAATTTCCTTTTAACTTATCTAGAACAAAAATTTGTGTTTAAAGGCCTCAATTTTTTTTCATGACCATTTTTTGAAGGAGAAAATAAAATAGATTAAATATCTATTTAACTGGATACATGTGCATAAACATAAGTTAACAATCTTTGAAAACTCTTTTATTGATTCTGTAAGGAATTAGACACTTGTACTAGTTAAAAAAAGAATGGAGTTAAAAAATGTGCTATGCGGCCATTATTCTATGTGATCTCAGGTTAAGTTCCCTTGAAGCTAGCACACAAACCAAAATACACTGATTGTTTATTATTCAACTTTTGACAAAAATTGCTACTTTTTATGCATCTTTTTTCTACAAAAAATATAATTATATGATATATGTATATATGTAGTAACTTGTTAAGCGCAATTTCTAAATTCAACCAACCACAGTTGACAAGTAAAATCGATCACTTTAGTTCTAAAATATTGGTCTTTCTGAATATCAATAACTACATGAATTTTAGAATTGTAACAAACAATAAATTTATGACACTTTAAATGGTAAAATCAGAAAATGAAAGTCTAACATTGAAGTTGATATAATTATATCTCTAACATATTCCAGAAATTTAATGACAATGTAACATCATTTTCGGCTGAAGCATACATACATAAGATGTGATGATCAACATTTAAACTCAAATGTTTTCATTATCTGTTTGTAAATAATATATTAAAATATTAATATTAATATTTTTCTGAAAATTCAAAATATGACAAGAAACTTATAAAAATACACATTCTGAAATATTTAATTTCTTTCCTCAAAATATTATGCCAAAAAATAAACATATTATAAGTGACCTAAAGGATAAAGTCTAAGTGAAAATTTCTCATTATTATTTGAAAGATAAAATAAAATAAAATAATTTCCGTTTCAACCAATCATTATGTATATCAAACAGATTTCACTTGTATTTTTATGTGTCGATCAATTAAAAGGGAGAGTCTAGTTATCCCTTAGTTTGGGCTAATTATCCCTCACCCTAATCTAATGTGCATTTCTTCTCTCCCTTTCTATGTGCCGCGAAGACTATACCATATCTTGAGATAATTTCAAATCATATAATATATCAACATAATTTTTTAATATCTTGACCAACATGATGTTAAATAATTCAAATATTGATTTTTGTGGTGTTACTCCATATGAAACAACTTAAAATAGCACTCAGCAAAAAAAGAAAAAAATCAAAGAATGAAACGACTACATCTTGTGTGGAGTAAAATGTTATTTATGATACTCATCATCAAATTCTACTCGAATTTGAAAAATGAAGGTTTTTCAGTTTATCAATATTACTAAAAATAAAAAATAATTTCATAACACCTTTTTCTCATCCAATAAAATGTGAGTATGATAAACGTGTTTTTGGAGATGATTGCTATGAAGCTAATATAAACAACTTGAAGTTGGCATCTTCATCTCAAAGCATTTTTATGATAACATCATGCTGGTCAAGATATTAAAAAATTATGTTGCATTATGATATGATTTGAAATCATCTCAAGGAATGATATCATTTGGAAACCCTCACAGCACCAGGTTCAAATATGGCTGTATGAGACCAATTAAATTGGTAAAAATATGTAATAAACATAAATGCAAATTTCGATTGTTTTGAATTTTGAATTTCGAATGTTTTGAGGTTTCATACATTTCAGCCATGCTTATTTTGCTTGGACTACAATGTGAAAGATTATAAACTATTTGAGAAAAAAATAAAGGAATAAAGGAAGGTGTTGAAAGAATTGGGATTTTTTGGGTAATTTGGATTTTGAAATATTAGCAATCTATGATCTGAAAGATAACGGTTTAACTTATTTTGAAATCGCCAACTTTTTTATTGAGGTGATCCGAAGACTTTTCTCTAAGATAACATTATATTTGCTCAAAGTCACTAGATTCTTAGGAAACATGTTACGTTTTGTACTCATAAGATTATTATTCAGAACCTTTTAGACATATTAAAATTGGTAGTTATCATGACCTCTCCTGTATCTTCCCAATTTTTTCTTGGAAATCTTCCAAATTTCTAGAATGTGTTTTAATGTATATCATGAGGTGTTACTAACATGTTTCTAGAAGTATTGTCATATTTTCACGACATCGAATGATTAATTCGAAAACTATATCAGAGTCGAGAGATCCGGATCTGAAGGTAGTGCAACAGGTGAGGCGAGAGGGTAACATCTTCTGCGCCACCCAAGAAGGCTCCAGGCAGCTCATGAAAGTATGGCTAAACAAAATGCAACGACACTTGAGGCAGAACAATTGAAGGGATGATTGTCGTGTCCGATTCTCTTTGTAACAGGATGGCACAGGTCAATGTGCAAGTCGGAACATTGTCGCTGCAAATCGACGCCCAAATGTGGAATCGGCGAGTCTTGGGCGGAGCTCCATGCGCGAACATCGTGTTGCTCGTGTTTCTGTGATACTTCGATGGCCTGATTGGCATTGAATATTGAGAATGTCCCAATGCAGTACATCACAACGACGGTCCACGCTCGGAACCATGTCCGATTCTCCGAATCCCCGTTCAAGGACGGCGTCTGGAAGAGTAACGAATGACGGAGAGCTGCCAGTCAATCGTCCAAGTCAATACTTTGTTGGTGGAGACGGACGCAACCTCCGTGCGTGCTGTGCTGGTCAAAGCCAGCCATGCACTTTTTCTCCTCACGTACACGTTCAGCACATCCGTTTCGGGATGCCAAAAGTGCACGTGTGGCTCACAGAAGTCCTCGCCCGCCCGACTGCGCAGTCACTGCATAGTTGGTTCATGCGACGGCGAGCACGCCGAGAGGCAACCGGAGGTCACCGAAGACCAGACACGAGTCTCCCCGGGCCCAGGAGCCCACATCCCCCGGGGTCGGTCCCACCGGGTGGGCAGGTCCAGGAGAACCTGCCCACCTGACGCTCTTTTCTTGTGAAACCTGATCGGGCCATGCATTTCTCTCTCGTCTGTCTGCTCTGACCTGTCCACGACGGACGGAGGCCAGGGAACTAAATCCTCGTCGTAGAGCGAAAGCGGGTTGCAGCGCAATTTTCGGCTTTTCTTCCGCGAGGTATATAGCCGCTCCCTGCTCCCGCGGCCCCCTGCCGGGACGAGTACTTGAAGGGGAGCGGTCTCGGGGAAGCGGGAGCTCCTTTTCGCTCCTTTCGCTCCTTCTCGTTGGCTGCCCGCGTTCCTGCGTGCGTGCCATCTGCGGAGCACCTCGTGAAATTGACATTGACAGTAGAAGGTAATGTCCGGAGCTATTTCTCTAGCGTCGAGGTACTGGTGTCTCAGCGTGCCACGCTGTGTTCCTTCTCGAGGGCTGAGTCTGACTTGTCCCGAGTCCGTAGTTCATTATCGGTTTCCTAGAGCACGATTTCTGCTTCCGAGGCCTGCTCGCTCGTTTCGTCTCTTTGCTTCTGTGAGGACGATCGATACCCGATCACCGATTCTTTGCCCAGCTCTGCTCTGCATTTCTCTCATCGTTATGAATACGTGTTTTGATCCAGTCAAACGGAATGGTGCAATGAGAAATCTGTGTTGCGGTTGAGTGGTCCATTTGCTTATACACTAGTGTAAACATAAGCATGTGATCCTGGTCATTTTATTTGCATGTTCGTTGGTTGCTGTGGCATGCGAGTGACAAGGTTGTGTCGTAGTTGCGTCGAAGTGCAGATGCTAGTTTCAACATGTTTTACTTCAGTTTATCTTCGGTTTCAAAGAAAGTGTCTTACTTGGTTAAGAGAAAGAGGCAGGGTTGATTGCCGCGAACTGTTGTAGGTTCGAACGGTGCCGGTTAGCTCATTTTGTCCTCCTCCAGGTTCCAGCTGGGTTAACTCGGATGAGATTTGTAAGAAGTTGCAGAGAGTCCATTTTATCGTGACTGATGAATCAGCGGTGTTGTGCTTATTCTCTCTTCAGATTGGAACGATGGCCGGAACCGAAGTAACCAACAGGCAGGTTCTTTTTAAGAATTATGTTGTAGGCTGGCCCAAAGAATCAGACATGGAGGTGGTGACAACTACCAAAAAGTTGGAGCTAAGAGAAGGGCAAAAGGATGTAATTCTTAAAGTCTTGTACTTGTCTTGTGATCCTTATCAAAGAGGGCGCATGCGCGATTCTTTGGATTCCTACATCCCACCTTTTACTCCTGGCAAGGTGTGAGACTTTCCTTGTTTTGGTCCCGAACGTAAATTTATGCAATCTCCAACGCAACACCACACTTAGTAAGATTCTTTAGCATTCTTCACTATCATATTGTTGAGATTACTTAGAGTGCAGAGATGACTGGTTGTGCACTCTCGGCAGGCATGTATACTTCCGTTCTTTCTGACCCACGATACCTTTGTGAGAGAAAGTGTACCTAACGTGCATAAGGAGTGTGCAGCATACCGATGACAAGATTATGACAATGTGCAGCCCCTTGACGGATATGGTGTTGGCAAAGTTGTCCTATCCAATGACCCGGACTTTAAGGAGAATGATATTGTCGAGGGGTTGATGGCCTGGGAGGAGTACTCTCTGGGTTTCAAGTTAACCAAAATCGAGTCAGATGCGGTTCCCGTCTCTTACTACTTGGGTGCCCTAGGTAAAATCACCTTCACCCTGGAACATCTTGTCAAACACCTCATGTATGTGGTAGCTCGGTCTGACACCTTCTAGATTTCTGTACAATGCAGACATGAGTTCTTGTTTCGCCTTCAGGGTTGTATTATTTTTCCCCTATGTCTGCGCAATCGCTTTTTTTTTGTTGGTCCTTGACAAAACTGCTGGCTGCGTTGAACTATCTTCAGGTTCTTGATCTCTTTAGAGCAATTTTAAAGTTGGATATATGTACATTGCCTTGCTTGAAAGCTTTTGGCTTAGGTGAGGTTACTGTATTTCTTTATCTTATGTAGTTTTCATGTGTATCTCACCTCGTTGTAGATGCTTGTTCAATCAGAGCAAGAGCTTCTGTCCCTGACATTGGTCTTTGATTGCAGGAATGGCTGGATTCACAGCATATGTTGGTTTTTTTCATGTATGTCAACCAAAGAAGGGGGAAACAATATATGTCTCAGCAGCTTCAGGAGCAGTGGGACAAATGGTTGGTCAGTTTGCCAAGCTCTTTGGCTGCCATGTGGTTGGCAGCGCTGGTAGTGCGCAGAAGGTCAGTTTCAACTCATTCAGCAGTTCACGGCGGCTGATATATTTCTTTTCTGTTGTGTGTCACGAACCTTTGTCAGAAAATTGTAAATCAATGTCGACTCATTTTTTAGCCCTCAAGATCGTCTGATGAACTGCAGAAGCATGGTTCTGCAGTTTCTGATATTTTCAGCTCACATTTTGGTCCTCTAATGTTATGCCCGCATTCCTTCTCTTCATAGTCATGGGCCAATGTCGAAACTAAGGTTTATCCGGATAGCTTCCATCTATATTGCCGGTCAGCTGTATGTTTTGACTGGCACAACTACTGAGTACAGTATACTAAGATTTCCCTTTTCCTGTAAAGATCATATGCGGGATTAGGCATTCGTTGGTATTTGTGAACAGATAACACTTTTGTCAGATTCTTCAACCTTGGTGAATTTCGCGGCCTGAGCAACCACATTACTTTTGATTTTATGAACTTCTGTTTGTCTGAGAGTTGGTTCACAGGACCACATTCCACAATGGACACTCTCTTAATCACTATCATTGTTATATGTATTAAGAGAGCTTGAGCTTAGCTCACTCTGACTACTGGTTGTTGGTTCTAATAAGCGCGACACCTTTCGCAGATTCTTTCATCCTCACTTATTTATACGACACGAACCAACAGGCTGACTCGAATTGACCTGACTTGTCACAGCTTACCCAATCCTAATGCGAACTATTCCGAGATATATAGTCATTAGAGTCCCTTTAAATTTCTTGCATACAAGCAATGTATAGTAAAGAAGAAATATTTGACTCAGAAATACATGTACGTGTGCAGGTTGATCTTCTGAAAAACAAATTTGGATATGATGAAGCCTTTAATTACAAGGAAGAACCTGACCTGGATGCTGCTCTGAAAAGGTTAGTGAGCTTGCAATAGATTTTCGAGTTGGATGGATCTTAGTGGTTGAGACAAATGCAAACTGATAGATGTAGAAAATGAGGTTTTTATTTGAACATATCATATTTTAATGCCATTTAGTTTCCGAAAATTGTACTTAGCCCTGAGGAACTGTCAAATAACCTACCATGTATAAAACACCGTCTATAACCTGCTTCATGAATTTCTATAACGTGATAGCCTCTTTTCTGGTGTTCGATAAGCGTGCATGAGGTCGTGCTGAGTTTTCTGTTTCTGGATAATGCTTAGATTCATAAACTGTTATTTTTTGAACCGACCGACGTACTTTGGTATCAAGAGAACTACATCACCTGAATACTGAAATCGGCGTTCGAATAGATGAGAAAAAGTAATTACTGGTTTGTGTTGGTCATGCAGGTATTGTCCAGAGGGTATTGATATGTACTTCGAGAATGTTGGTGGAAAGATGCTCGATGCTGTTCTTATGAACATGAAAGTTTTTGGACGAATTGCAGTTTGTGGAATGGTCTCACAGTACAATAACGTGGAGCAAGATCCTATTTATAATCTTAACTACACCGTGAAGAGAAGAATAAAAATTCAGGGTTTCCTGCAAAGTGACTTCGTCCATTTGAGACCTGAGTTCAAGAAAACAGTTGTTGAGTGGTTCAAGGAAAAGAAGTTAGAGTACGTGGAGGATATGGCCGATGGCATAGAGAAGGGACCGGCAGCCTTGATTGGGATGCTGGCAGGGAAGAACGTTGGAAAGCAAGGCATAAAAGTTGCAGATAATTAGAAGAGAAAAGGAAGGATACGGCAATCATTGATCATTTGAAGTAAGCCAAACGATCATTGCAATGGTAAGCTGAAGGTGAGACCTAAATGGAGTGATGATAGTTTATTTAAAAGCTTTCACAAAGTCCAGTGTTCTGAATCTATGTTCAGGTAAGCTGGTTCAGGTTTTTGTAAGGTGCATACTCAAAGATAGTTGAGGTTTGCAACCCTTATGTCAGAAAAATAAACCCTGTCCACGTCGGCTGGGGATCCACTGGACTTTTCAGCATATACCGTCATCACGACGTAGTGCAGTTACCACAGAGCAGCCATGTTTTTCCTCGGCTAGTAAAATTTCACTTTTGCATATCTGCAGTCGATGTACAGCAGTCGTGTATTTAAAGATCTAAATCATCCACGTCGTGGCGAACTCCGTATGAATATTGCACTGGAAAGGAGGGAGATGTGCACAAATTTCTTATTTTGTGGAAATGTCTCAAAGTAGTAGGTGATAGGGTACAATTTCTTTGCATCTGTGTAAAAGTTTAGTTCGTGAATAGCAAATTGGGAATGTATCTCTGAAGAGATAAAAGGGTTTTGTATTGGGATATATATTCGATAGTATCTATAATTAAAATTCTTTGTAACTATCATAGAGTGTGATCATTGAGACGGAGAAGATGCCGAGCATCCCCTCCTTGAATTGCATACGTCGTGGGCTTAGAGGAGTCGTCTTGAGACTGAGCCCGAGCCCGAGACCGATCTCAGTCTGAAGCCCAGGCATGGCAAAATGTTAAGTGCCCAGGCATGGCAAAATGTTAAGTGCCCCGAGCAACCAGGTGGAACGGACAAACTTCCTATTTTCTGACTGAAGTCGTCGATGCTGGTAAAGAGGCAGGAAATGTAAACAGCCAATTTTTCGGAGATGTATTGAAGGAGACAGTGAAGTGGTCAGCGGTTGATACATCCGCAGGGAATGATGAACCAACCTTGCTCATTGAGGATCATAGAGGACAGATTTGCTAAGTGAAAGTAACATATATGAGTTTGATGATTCATATCTTGTAATATGTTTTATCATTTTCGTTGTCGACATAGACGAGATATGAAGCCATTGAGGATACTAGACAATAATCCGCTATAGTATAGTGGGTACCATTGAGTTGTAAGATATCATAAAGTGGTTAGATTTGGTATCTTATTTTCAGCGGATGCTTAATTTTATGTCATCTTCACGTTTGGATGGTAGGGTAGGGTTTAGGTTTAGGTAGGGATGGTATTATTGTAGTATTTAAAGCGTCCAGTCTTTGGACGATTATCATGAAATTAGTTAGTATGAGGAGACTGAGTTGTGCCGACAATATTTCTTTGTTTATTAAGTCTGTTGCAGTGTTTGGTAGGGCCGGTTATCTTTTGTACTCATCATAAGATAGAGGCGATCTGCTGACGTGTAAAGAGTTCAAAAGTTTGAACATTTATATCGAAATTGGATTCAATTCCTCACTTGAGTAGAGACCATATGATGAGTTGTAACAAGATAAGAGACTCGTGAAGTCTCAACGTAAGCTTGAGGGTTTTCCATATACACATCATAATGTGCTACATTTGACGAATCTCCCCCATTATATCACTATCATATGTTGTTCAGAATCGTTACAAGATGTCGAATAGGGAGTTGAGGCTAACAGTAAGAGATGCCAACAGACGAGATATTGATTACTCTGTATTCAACGAAGTCAGATGAATATACCATAAGTGATTATTGCTTGATCATAGAAAATCAACATCTTCATCAATTCAGTCAATTAAACAAACTATTTTCATATACAAACCTGAATTTCTCATGATAGAAAGTTTGATACAAACTTGACTGTCTGACTGACTATAGTAACAAGGTTTTATCATGTTTTAGATAGATACTATTCTAATGTTAACAAATGTATGGATAGTATGATGTATAGAACATAAGCTGCAGCAGATTCCAACAAAATTAATCCAGAGATGGAAAGTGGATTTTGCTGTGTAAAAATCATATGAGATAATCATATGATTGATACATGGTTTGATAGCCATGTGAATCAAAATAAATGAAAGGTCGAATTAAAATCTCTTTAAGGCGGAGTGTTTAGTGATAGAGTATCCTTCCTTAGTGAAATGGTAGACCATGAGATTAATCATGAGGTGAAAATAAACTCGCAGCGTCTAGCCATTGGAGTAAATATATATTAAGTATGATTATATTTCAATACAAGTTGCATTCTGCTAATTCATACACTAGTAATCTCTTTTACATTTATTTTATTAGATTACTATGTGATTCCTAGTGCAACAAATCATTGGCAATAGAATAACATCCACGTATGTAGGTGATAGATAAAAAGTTGAAGAGTTAAAATTGCCAACAAATTCAAATTTTTCAACTTTCATACTCATAATCATTTCAAGATACCATCAATTAGAAAATAATTGATAATATTTTTTCAAAATTTATTTAGAAGCATTATAAAGAAAAGAAAAGATAAGAGAAAATCATTTTATATAGTAAAAATGAATATTTACGATCTAGCCATTGTTATTGTATAAATGAACATAAAAAATATCAAATAATCTTAAAATCTATTGTTTCTTTTCATATAATCTCAATCAAACATCGAGCGTTGAAGTTATATATCAAGATTTCATCAAATGCAATTAATTAACGTTATAACAATATGATGTGATTTACAAAAAGATCTCCAACATACAGGTGTCCGCTAAAAATGCCTAGCATGATATTCACTTCAAATTTTGTTTTCATTCTCCATATGTGTTGTATTTTAATTCAACAACTTTTATATCGGATGAAATGAATTGATCAATTTGACAAATTCATTATATTCAATGATATTTATTTCAAATAAAATGAATATTTTTTTGGTTATTATCAATACAAGAAAATTGAATATGTGTAGTGTACAAGGTAAATTTTAATATGTCAAACACATACTTTGATTGGTTCAAATAAATTTGTGACCATTCTTTCATAAGATTGTGTTTCAAAATATAAAATACATAACACTTTATCTTGTGAATAAAAATAGTCAATTATGTACTGGATTATATATTTGATAAAGTTAAGCTTTATCAAATGCTCATATGAAATTCAATATATATCAAGATATATTATTTAATAGAATTTTAAAATATGTTTCAATATTCAATGCTTGGATTATTCAAAGTTTTCAATGAATTATTCAAATTATTTCAAATATAAATATTTGAAATAAAACGTGAGCACACAAACATAGAAAAAATTTACATGTATAAATTTATTTTTTTAGTGAAGTAGAGACATATAATGAATAAAATCCTAATTATATCACATAAAATTTTGAAATGTGATTTTAGTTTGTATATCATGCTTGCATAAGATGTTTATCAAAATTATGTAGAAAAAACTATGGTTCAATTTTTTTAATAAATGATCATTTAAGGTCATACAAGAGATAATGTAATTATGTGTTCAGATATAATTATGATATGTGCGTATAGTTTTTAAACAATGAAGTCAATAATAATCACACATCTTTGCAAGTTTTTTTTTCCTACAAATGTATTCCAAGTAAAATTGTTAATCATCAATAATTTTTTTTATTGATGAATAAAATAAAGTAATATTTTAGAATGAATTTTTTTTTATAAATTTTTATAATTTTTTTATCTGATATATATATATATATATTATTTCTTATAAAAAATAAGTTAATTTTTTTTAATTTCATGTGTGAGTTAGTTATTCATGTCGGAGTATTGTTAGGACTCACACAACGCGGTAGGGTCTGGCCAATCGGCTTATAATAGGTGGTGACTACTTAGACCGGCGAGCAAGCTCACCAACTTGAAAATTACAGCATAATCTTAGTGTTCTAGTGGATGTAGTCTACATCTGAACCACGTTATCTTTGTGAGTATCAACATGATGTATAAAATGATAATGATTTATTAAAAAGGAATCAGATTCAGTTTTTCTTTTTATTATGTTAAAAATTATAACCATAATGAAAAAAATTATATTTAACAAATTTTTTTATTTAATATATAAATTTTTAATAAAAATTGCAATAATTTGTAAAGAAAGTATGATCATTATAAAAAAAATTCACACTGAAAATAAAATTCATATTTAAAATAAAATAATTTAATTTATAAATTACTTTGTAAATAAAGATGTAAATTTTGGTTTTAAAATAAATAATATTATCTTATATTTCGCAATGAAATTACTTTTGAATAATATCACATTTTCAAAAAATCATTTATTTAAGTATAAGATACATAAAAATTTTAAGATTTTTAAGTGTGGCTTTATTTTTGAGTTCTTTATAATGATGAAATTTTTTTAATGTTTGTATATAATATATAAAAATATATGATATTTATAAATAAATTGAAATGATTTATGTATATATGATATGCAATTATTTATTAGCACAGCTATATTGAATATATTAAAATTTTTCAGTTTATTTAAAAAAAAATTAGTTTATTAGTTTACAAATTTTTGAATGTTTGTATGTTTTTGTTATTGAGTCATTCACACATAATAAGTTGAAATTAAAGATTGTAATTTGATAAGATAGTTCTTTGAGATTTTTTTAATCTTGATTACGCATGCAATTTAATTATTAAATAAGCTCATAGAATAATAAACTTTACATACTCTTTTGTGAGTAGTGAAATCAATCCAAATTGTAAAAAATGAAATGTTAATCCATTTTTCAAAAGAATTTTATTCAATACATTAAAACATTTCACATTTAAATTTATCTAATTATATTTTGTAGAAAATTTTTAACTTTTTTTAAATCTTAGAATATCAAAAAATTGTTAAACTTGATGTGTGTAGTATAATATGTGTGTATATTTCAGTAAGCATTTTTTCAATGTTTTTAGTTTTAATTTTGAATGAAATCTAATTGATAAGAGATATAGTACTTTAATTTTGAAAAAATAAACATTTGTCAAAAAATCTATAATTTATTATATTTAAGACATATTCAATCTGCTATTGTTAAATTTGATTATCTTTTTGGAATTTTTAATTATATGTAAATAAAGTTTGAAGTAGATTTATTTTCCTCTTTTTATCATAATTTATTGACTATTATTGTACTACACAGTGGGATTCAAAGAAAATATCAGACTATTGATTTTGTTTTCAATAGATGAAAAAATTAACATATATATTTGAATAATTGAGTCAAAATTATTTTTTTTCACATTTTACACATTCATGATAACATCAACTTCTGAATTTTTTTTATCCATTTCACAATTTCAAAATCTCACTACATTTAATTATCAAATTTAAAAAAGTAAGAAATACAAAAAATATTAAATGATATTTTGATAAATTCAAATAATGAATTGATTTTTAGATAATAAAATACAAGATGAAAATTATGATATATCATGAAACAAAAAATTATCATAAATTCATGTGTGTTTGTCTGATTATGCTTGCAATATTCTAGTCAATTTGCATAAAGAGACTTTAGTTGGATTTGAAAAAATTATTTATGTACTATGAAAAAAATTTAAAATTAAAAGACTTGCACACAACAATTCAAAAGAGCTGGCATAAAAAATATTGAGAACGATATATTATTTAAAAAAATTGCCTCTTGAATTTTGCAAAAGTTAGAAAAAAGATCATGTGAAGAAGTATACATGTTATAATTTTAACAAAATAAATAATTGAATTTTTTTTGTAGAACGAAAAATTTCAAAAATTTATATTTGACGTATCATTTTGAAGTATAAGCATCATAAAAAAATAAAACATACATGGAGATATTGAGAAAAGTTTCAAAAAGTTGGCGACAAGGAATGATGAAAAATAGTCTATCATAGCATACAAAAAGGCAATGTTTTTGAAAAGAAAAGTATTTATGTGAAATATTTGAAACAATATTAAACTCAAATACAAATAATAACTTTCTTAGAAGAAAATCATTTGAATTGTTGTTAGTATGAAAAAATACTTAAGAAATGAAGTGATTTGGATTATTATAAGAAGACAATTTTTTCCAATTTTTATACATTGATCCATAGTAAATATTCTAATAATGCAATATAAGCTAAAATATATTATTAAAATTTTAATAGATTTCAAAATCAACGTGGTTACTCATGAAAAGATAAAGATCACTTTATAAAAACATTCATTACAAATCAAAATTTTTTTGGCAAAAAAATTTAAATTCAACCTATGACATTAAGAAGAAAAAGATTTCATTAATGATGTGAACTATCTCTTGTATTTGATGGTGTGTTGAAAAATATAATAATTTTCAATTTCTCAATAAGCAATATAAGCAATATAAGCAAATACATGTAGATATCAGGGAAGGTGTATCTGGAACCAGTGAAATCAATTCTTAGATACTTAAAATTTATTAAAGATAATAATATTTGTTTGATTGTGAGTGAAGATTTATTCTTGTAAGTAAAGCGAGCATAGATGTCATTGATA